AAATATTCCAGCCCATTATTGGGTAGATACATTGTTGTGATCTTTTAAAGTGAGATTCTTTGGCATTACCACACGCAGGTCCTTCGCATTAGTTTTTCTGTTAGGTTAGGTTAAGTTTCGTCAGGAAACAGGATAAATGTTTTCTGACGCGGGTCTTAATCAGATGACCCGCCTTTGGAGCTTTGGCCATCTGACCGAGGCCTTCCGCTGGCTTACCGGTCCACCCCTTTAAAAATTATGGTCATGTAGAACCATTACTATCCTTAGTTTTTCAGTCTATTGTGTGGTTAAAATTCGTTTTGTACACTGATCCAGTTTTTATTTCCTCGAGTTTTCCAAAGCGAAGTAATTGAAATTTGTCTTCACTGAACTTCATACTGTTTTTTGATACACCATATGACGCCAAGGCTTACATACATAATGAATGGTCTATTAAGATCGTTATATCTAAAGCTCTAGTTGGAAATAAATGGTATAAAATACCGACACAATGGAAATATAAACACATATGCAGTATAATGTGATCCTTTATTGACTACGTTTCGCCCACGTAGTGGGCTTTTTCAAGTCACAAACAGAACTACCTGGGGTGGAAGGAACGCGAGTATTTATAGTCAGGTTCAGAGTGCTGAGGTCAGGTGGAGAATGCTGCATCTGATGATGCAGCATTCTCCATCAGATGCAGCATTCTCCACCTGACCTCAGCACTCTGAACCTGACTATAAATACTCGCGTTCCTTCCACCCCAGGTAGTTCTGTTTGTGACTTGAAAAAGCCCACTACGTGGGCGAAACGTAGTCAATAAAGGATCACATTATACTGTATATGTGTTTATATTTCTAAAGCTCTAGTTGCTCCTGTAAACAATGAACGTTTTCACAGGTAGAGCTGAGGGTATTGAATGTAGAGTGTACTGTATATCCCTAACACCTAACAATCCATAGAGAAAACCAGGACCATGATCTGGTGTGACAGTGTAATAACTCTCCAGTGGACATATAGAGTAACAGTAAATTTGTGTTGATGAAATTTGCCAAATCCAGGACAAATTCCTTAGTGACTCGTAGCATTTAATACAGTTTAACTGTATTATTATGGAAAATCCCCCAACCTACTGGGATAACACCTAAGTTAAGAGGTAAACTAAGTTAAAAGGTAAACCTGAAAGGCTTAAGAGTCCGAGATGGTGAGCGAACGACAATAACTGGAGTGAACACAAGGTTTATATTGACCTCGTGTGCACCTAGAGCTGTTGTTGCTGCTACTCTTGTACATAAGAACATAAGGACCACTGCTTTAGGCCTGCTGGCCCAAGCTAGGCAAATCAAATTCACACCTACCAACATCCACTCATATACTTGTCTAACCTATTTTAAATGTTAAATAAGGTTTTTGCTTCAGTGACACTACTCAGCAGTTTGTTCCATTCATCCAAAATTCTATTACCAAACCAGTTCTATCACATTTAAATTACGTATTTAACCTGGCGCCAAGGGGTGTAAAGCCTTGTCTTTTATTAGAAAAAATACACCGCCCTAGAACGAGAAAGATAAGTTTACTTAAAGTGCTGGACAATACTTCTCAGTAAGGATTGATAAACTCGCCTTATAAAAATATACTCTATAAAATCAGTAACAACATACATATATACACAACATAAAGCCTGCTTTCACCATATTAAAGAAAATATACGCTAGTACACTGCTGCTAGTTATTTAAAATTAGGCCATATTTTGTTACACTCAAAACCAAGTGCTAAACACATACGGGTCATTAGGACACAGAAGAATAAAATATCAATGACGCCTGTAGATCGCCATTCCTTGTCTTGCAGCCTGCCCGTAAAAAAAGTAGCCATTGCTGCACTTCCACTAATCACGTGCCGCAAAATGCCCTTCTCACACTATACCACTCACTTATTTATCCATACCTCACCTATGCTATTTGTGCTTGGGGATCAACTGCAGCAACACACCTAAAGCCAATAATAACCCAACAAAAAGCTGCAGTAAGAATAATCACTAAATCCCATCCCTGGCAACACACTCCCCCACTCTTCATAGATCTAAACTTACTCCCAGTTCAGTACATCCACACTTACTACTGTGCAATCTACATCTACAGGGCCTTAAACTCTAATATCAACCTTGACCTAAAACGCTTTCTTGATAGTTGTGACAGAACCCACAGGCATAACACCAGACATAAACATCTCTACGACATTCCCCGTGTCCGACTAAACCTTTACAAAAATTCAATGTATGTCAAAGGCCCTAAAATCTGGAATACCCTACCTGAGAACTCTAGAACTGCAGACACATTCATCACCTTCAAAACTACCATTAGAAAACATCTTATCTCCCTGATACACCCCGTCAACTAACTATACGAATACCACCTGGTGGTTCACACTTACACTCACTCACTCATTTGACCATAAACAGAAATATTAATCTCAGTCTTAAAATAATGAATCCTGTGATACTCCAATACTGAAACTATGTAGTGTGCCAAAACAAAAGCATTCACATTGCTAAACTCACAAACTAGTATTTAGTCACTTAGCCATAATACCAACTTACCTCATAATTTGTAATATTTTACAATTAAGAATAAAACTAAGTATGCCCGAAATGCCTAGCCATGCTAAGCGTTCTAGTGGTACACTCTGTAATCACAATTTTACTACATGTAAACCAAACAATAACCAAATTTCTGTAAACTCAGCATTGTAATCCTTATAGAGAATAAACTTTGAATTGAATCACACAGACCCCCACATATAACCCAGGGCCTTGCTCAGTGCTGGGACCAAACTAAGATTACAAAAGAAATTATTTCCTCAAACAACTTACGGCCTCAAACTTACCCAAAAATACCACCTCCCTACTTAACCAAACACCATCACACCCTATTCCAACAACTGCCATCTCGTCACTGCCAGACTAGTCACTCTGATCCACACAGCGTTCGCAGTCTTCACGTCTAATACGTGTCCTACTGGCTGTCCACCTGCTGTTCAGTTCACCACCACTTAAGCTTTATCACTATTTTAATGAACCTTCACTACACTATAAACACTCTATTTATAAATTTATTACAACAACACAGTATCCTTCATAATACATTCTTTCCTATATTTCTTCTAAATCTATTTTTTTCCACCTTGAATCCATTGCTTCGAGTCCTGTCATGATTAAATATTTTAAGCAGGTTATTTATATTTCCTTTATTTATTCCTTTCTTATATTTATGCACCCCAATCATTTCCTTGTTAATTCCAAGCCCTTCTAAAGAGTATAGTGTAGGAACGCCTTTATGTATTACGGAAATACAAGGTTCACTGTTATTAGTCTGCAACAACACACCATTCATCCCATACAATGCTTTGTAAGTGCGTTTATATCCACACAGAAAGTGAGGGACCGGTGATCTCTCACCGGCACGGGTGAAATGTTGGGCGTTTCCTTCAGCGTGCTTCTCTTGTTCGCCTAGCAGTAAGTAGGTATCCGAGTGTTAGCAGACTGGTGTTTTTTTCTATAAAGTGTGTCAATTTTATTACCTTTTCTGTTCTAATTGGTAACCATACTTTATAGAAATAAAAAGTTTTATCAATTATCAAAGGGCCCTGTTGTCTCTAGTTTCTAGCAGCTAGTTTGACAATCTCCTTTGTGGAAAACTAAATAAATACTGTCCACACCCAAAAGATAGTGTGTTCTCTGATCTATACTGTGATTGCTTTAAATCTTCAGTGCTCTAAATAACCAATTAAAGAAGATCCTGTGACGTGGTAATGATTGTAAATGTGACGTTGGAGGAGGTTGGCGTCGGTGATCTTGTCAACCTGTAACTTGCTCCTGGATCAATGAGGTGTTAAAATAAAGAATTTTCATCGATTTGTTGTTATCTACACAATTTCACAAGGCCTAGCAAAAAGTAGGTACTTGGGTATCAGCCGATTAGTTTGACCTGCATCCTGAGAGAGAGAATACAAGCCAGACAGTTTACCGACTTGGTTTCTGTGGAATATCGAGTGTTATTATCCCTTTGGGTTAATAATCTCAATAAATTTTTTTCAAGGCCTGTGAGGCGTGGGTTAAGAGACTCACGTTACTATCTTCCATAATGACGCTGTATTATGATTTTGCAACTAGTATATACTTTTAAGTGAAACAAATAATAATTTTCATAATAATGAAATAAATATATATTAATATACCTTTTACAGTGCTGACTAATGATGACGTTATCAAAGCAGAAACTAATGTACCTATAAAACCATTAAGAAATATCCGATATGAAAACATCATATACCAGAAATAAATAACAAAAAGGCACAATACCGTGACTGGAACGATACACAAATAACCCGCACATAAAAGACAGAAGCTTACGACGACGTTTCGGTCCGACTTGGACCATTGACAAAGTCACACTTAACAGAGGTGGAGCAGGACGGCTATATATAGGCAGGAAGAGGTGGAGGTAGTAGTACTACCTCCACCTCTTCCTGCCTATATATAGCCGTCCTGCTCCACCTCTGTTAGTGTGACTTTGTCAATGGTCCAAGTCGGACCGAAACGTCGTCGTAAGCCTCTGTCTTTTATGTGCGGGTTATTTGTGTATCATATACCAGAATGTTGTCACAACCTTTCACTTATTTCAGTCGTTTTTCAATAATTAATTTTTTCCCCTAGTAGTTTTGCCAGTCTGTCAGACAGGCTTCCACTGGGTTATCTATGGTTCGTCTTCCGAAAGGAAACAGTTAACTAAATTTATGCAAATTCTTAAACAGATTTAGTGAATTAGGCTACTTTATATTACGAAAATTTGAACAAAGTTGGATGAGGCTGCTAGGTCAGTTTTTGTGCAAAATTTAAAACTTGCACGTTAAAGGTGTTATTATTTGAAGGCAAATGTTTTCAATAGGGAGGCAGAACGAATATTCACTAGATTATTTCATCTGAAATTATCTGAAAGACCGTAACATCAATAAATACCTTAGGTATAAAGCAATAGATAGCTTTATGCGAATCGTCCACCAGAAGGTAGGCTAGAGTGTTGGTGTTCCTCGGCAGGTTATACTTGAAGATATTCTCGTGACCTTTACATGCTTGTTCCACAGAGTTCTGTCGTCGCTGCTGCTCTAATAACCAAAGATTATATTCAGCATCAGTTCCACTGATTTGCGTTTTGTAAGTCTTGTCAGTTAAGTTGATCTGAGTGAGTGAGTCTTCAGACAACATCTTCTTCTGAATTACTAATCTTTTATTATTTTCTGTAGGAAAATATAACTGGATTAAAATATTTCTTAACCTTTTCTTGAAAAAAAAAAGAAATGCACTAGCTCAGTTACTAATATGCAAAAGAGGGGAACTGTTATTTGTCAGGAAAAATTGGGAAAATTCCTTTAGTCATATAATGACTCAGCGCCTGGAACTGTTTGGTCTTTGGACCAAAGTCTTCTGGCTAACCAGTTCACCCAGTGAAAGCTTTTATATAGGTTCACATGATTTGTAATATAACCAGAAGACGTATCAGTGAGGTCTGTGTCATACTTGTTGACCTCCGCTTCCACAGCAGAGCGTGATGTAAGAACATAAGAACATAAGAAAGAAGGAACACTGCAACAGGCCTACTGACCCATGCAGAGCAGGTTCATGTCTCCCCCCCCCGATTAGACCAATGACCCCCCCCCCGGATAAGCCCAGTGACCCACCCAGTCTGGTCACCTTCACTCCAGGATGGAGCACGGCACCAGACCCAGCAGCACAAGCTAGTCAGGTCCAACTCACACCCACTCACACCCACTCATGTATTTATCTAACCTATTTTTAAAACTACACAACGTTTTAGCCTGAATAACTGTACTCGGGAGTTTGTTCCATTCATCCACAACTCTATTACCAAATCAGTGCTTTCTTATATCCTTCCTGAATCTGAATTTTTCCAACTTGAAACCATTGCTGCGAGTCCTGTCTTGGCTGGAAATTTTCAGCACGCTATTTACATCCCCTTTATTTATTCCTGTTTTCCATTTATACACCTCGATCATATCGCCCCTAATTCTACGCCTTTCGAGAGGGTACAGATTCAGGGCCCTCAGTCTATCCTCATAGGGAAGATTTCTGATACATGGGATCATCTTTGTCATCCTCCTCTGTACGTTTTCCAGAGCATTTATATCCATTCTGTAATACGGTGACCAGAACTGAGCAGCATAGTCTAAATGAGGCCTAACCAAGGATATACAGAGTTGAAGAACAACCTGAGGACTTCTATTATTTATACTTCTAGATATGAAGCCAAGAATTCTGTTAGCTTTATTGCGAGCACTAATGCACTGTTGTCTTGGTTCTAGATTACCGCTAACCAGAACTCCTAAATCCTTTTCGCAATCAGTAATATTAAGATTTATATTATTTAGTTTATATGTGGCATGGTTATTTAACTGTCCAACATTTAGAACTTTGCATTTGTCAATATTAAACTGCATCTGCCACTTCTCCGACCATTGCATCAGTCTATTCAAATCATCCTGGAGTGCTCTAGTGTCCTCATTAGAATGAATTTGACGGCCTATTTTGGTGTCATCAGCAAATTTGCTTATGTCGCTATTTATTCCCTCATCTATGTCGTTTATGTAAATTGTGAACAACAACGGGCCCAACACTGACCCCTGAGGAACACCGCTTGTGACGTGCCCCCATGCTGATTTCTCCCCATTTATGCAAACTCTCTGCTGTCTATTTGTCAACCATGCCTCTACCCAGGAAAAAAATTCTCCTCCTATTCCGTGTACCTTAAGTTTCCTCAACAGCCTCTGACGTGGAACTCTATCGAAAGCCTTACTGAAGTCCATATACACAATATCATATTCATTACCATGATCTACCTCCTTAAACACCTTAGTGAAAAAAGTTAGTAAATTTGTAACACAAGAACGCCCCTTTGTAAAACCGTGTTGAGATTCATTAATCAATCTGTGCCTGTCAAGATGGCTACGAATTGTTTCGGCAATTATTGATTCCATAAATTTTCCCACTATGGAGGTAAGGCTTATTGGTCTATAGTTGGAAGCCAAGGACCTGTCACCTGCCTTGTAAATAGGTATTACATTTGCCATTTTCCTTTATGCCAGTTTGTAGTGATATGTTAAAAAGATTAGCCAAAGGTATTCTAAGTTCATCTTTTTTATATTCCTTTAACACCCTTGCAAACAGTTCATCAGGACCTGGGGATTTGTTAGGTTTTAGTTTCTCTATTTGCCTGAGGACCATGTCACTAGTTACCGCAATCGTACATAGTTTATTATCATCCTGTTCTACATAATCTATTATTTCAGGAATATCGCTAGTATTTTCCTGGGTGAAAACTGAGAGGAAGTAGGTATTTAGAATTTCACACATATCCTTATCACTGTCAGTGATCTGACCAGAGTTACTCTTAAGTGGGCCAATCTTGTCCCTAATCTTACTTCTGTATACCTGAAAGAACCCTTTTGGGTTCAGGGTGGAGGCCTAAACTCTTACGGGTCATAAAACGCAAAGGGGAATATTGAATAACTTGATCAAGGTGGAAATAAATGGTATAAAATACCGACACAATGGAAATATAAACACAAATGCAGTATAATGTGATCCTTTATTGACAACGTTTCACCACACAGTGGGCTTTTTCAAGTCACACACGGATCTACCTGGGGTTGGAAGGTACGAGAGTATTTATAGTCAGAATGTTGAGGTCAGGTGGAGAATGCTGCATCTGATGATCTACCGGGTGGGGTTATAGAGTCTTGGGTAGCTTGGCAGGGGTATTGGACAAGTTGTAGACCTTCTGCAGTGTTCTATGTTCTTATGTGGGATAGCGATGAAGAAGTTTCTTGGCGAGTGGTTCAGCTATGTTATAGAAGCCATTGTTCTGGTTGAAATTGTTGGTTTTTAGAGATAAGCGTTTGATTCCAGGATTTTTCCCTGTATTGAGTGGTTTGTCTTCTGTGGCTATAAGTCTTGGTTTCTGTAGTTAATTAAATGGTTGTGTAAATTGCGATTTTGTCACAGGCATTACTGTATCGTCAGTCCCTGCTTGCATATTGGGTGTTCTGAATGGTGTTTGGAGGTCTCTGATGTTCGCCCATATAATTTGTTGCAGTCATTACAGGATATGTTCCCCTCAGAGGATGGGGCTTGTCTGTTACTATGGATTCCTTGAGGTCGTGGTTGTGGAGGTAGATACTTGGAATGATGTTTTGGCAAAGATGTTGGAAACATGTTTGGCAATGGAGTTGTTGGGGAGACTATGTATCTCTTCTCGGCAGTGTCTTCTCTGGGTGTGTTGAAGATGTTTAATGCCCGCCGTCTGCAGTCTCTGATGAAGTGAGGGAGGATAGTGGAGTTTAGAAAATACTTGTTCAATTATAGTGCATTCTTCCTCAAGGAACTCATTGCTGCAGATTCTGAGTGCACGTAGGAAGAACCCTATAATCACACCACGCTTGGTTTGGTGTCGTGGTGAGAGTAGAAGTGGAGAAGATCGTTTTGGTTGGTGGGTTTTCCATAGACTTTAAAACGAAATTGTGGTCAGCTTTGCAGAGCAGAACACCAAGGAAAGGAAGAGTGTTGTCGACTTTCTCTTCAAGTGTGAACTGGATTGAAGGCTCGACCTGGTTGAGCTTGTCTTGGAGAGCTTGAACGTTGAAGCGTTTAGGAGTTATGGGAGAATGTCGTCAACATAACGGAGCCAGGTGACAGCCGAAGGAATAATGGTGGAGAAACGTTCGGCTTCTAGATGTTCCATGTATAAGTTCGCCAGGACTGCACTGAGTGGCGAACCCATGGGTAGTCCAAAAGTCTGCTGAAAGAGGTGATTTTCGAAGGAGAAACACGTAAAGCCAACACATAGTTCAACAAGGTCGATGAAATCGCTGGCTGGAATGGGAAGATCAAGTGAATCGTCAATTTTCCTGCGCAAGAGATCGATGGCTTGTGTAGTAGGTACTTTGGTGAATAGGGAAGTCACGTCAAGGCTGGAAAGTTTCTTGTTCCTGATGTTGATGTTGCGAATGCGATTGAGAAGTGGACAACCTTACTAAAACTTTTCTTCAAAGGACTCGCCGCATTCTGAGGGGCTCAGAACAAGGGAAGAAACTTCTGCACACCATGCCCAGCAACCCCAGACCTGCCAGAATGTACGGCCTGCCAAAGACTCGCAAGCCTGGTATCCCACTGAGGCCCATATCCTCGGGAATAGGCAGTGCTCCCCACCAGCTCTCAGGCATTCTCGCCAAACACCTCTCTAAACTCTTGGGCACTATCAGTCCAGCACATATCAAACACTCGGGTGATCTTCTAAATCGCATTCGCAACATCAACATCAGGAACAAGAAAATTTTCCCAGCCTTGACGTGACTTCCCTATTCACCAAAGTACCTACTACACAAGCCATCGATCTCTTGCGCAGGAAAATTGACGATTCACTTGATCTTTCCCATTCCAGCCAGCGATTTCATCGACCTTGTTGAACTATGTGTTGGCTTTACGTGTTTCTCCTTCGAAAATCACCTTTTTCAGCAGACTTTTGGACTACCCATGGGTTTTGCCCCTCAGTGCAGTCCTGGCGAACTTATACATTGGAACATCTAGAAGCCGAAGTTTCTCCACCATTTTCCTTCGTCTGTCACCTGGCTCCGTTATGTTGACGACATTCTCCTCATAACTCCTAAACGCTTCAACGTTCAAGTCTCCAAGACAAGCTCAACCAGGTCGAGCCTTCAATCCAGTTCACACTTGAAGAAGAAAATCGACAACACCCTTTTCCCTTTTCCCTTGGTTCGCTCTGCAAAGCTGAACCCCGAATTTCGTTTTAAAGTCTATGGAAAACCCACCAAACCAAAACGATCTTCTCCCCTTCTACTCTCACCACGCACCAAAACCCAAACGTGGTGTGATTATAGGCTTCTTCCTACGTGCACTCAGAATCTGCAGCAATGAGTTCCTTGAGGAAGAATGCACTATAATTGAAAAAGTATTTTCTAAACTCCACTATCCTCGTCACTTCATCAGAGACTGCAGACGGCGGGCATTAAACATCTTCAACACACCAGAGAAGACACTGCCGAGAAGAGATACATAGTCCTCCCCCAAAAACTCCATTTCCAAACATGTTCCAACATCTTTGCCCCAAACATCATTCCAAATATTACCTCCACAACCACGACCATCAAGGAAAATCACCAGTAGTTTGAAGGACAAGCCTCCATCCTCTGCAGGGGTATACATA